CATCCAGTTTGTTTCAAAATATTCAATCCTCTATTACTCATGTGACCCAGTCTTTGGTGCCAAAGCACAAACTTGTCACTGAGTACAGCATTAGCATTTTTAGAAAAAGGTTTGGCATGCACAACATAAAGCTTATTTTGTTTCAAGGCTTTAAACAAAACAAGGGAGTTTTTCAAAATCTTCATACACCCATTTCCCCATTTACCCTCAAGACCACATTCTTCAAAAACAGAAACAGAAAGCAGGTTGTGCCTAAGATCAGGGACATGTCTAACATTTTTTAATTTGAAAACAGTTCCATTTTCAAACTTAAGACTTATGTCACCCACACCATGGACCTTACACTTCTTATTGTCAGCTAGGGACACATAACCAGAATCACAAGCACTATAAGAAGCAAACAGATTTTTAAAAGGAGTCATGTGGTAGGTACAACCTGAATCTATTAGCCATTCAAATTCAGTTAGGTTGCTTAGGGCAGAATTAGCATGATCACAGATCATGAACACTTCTTCACTAATTTCCTTATCAGTCACAGAGTTGGCCTGTTCATTTCTTTTGGGTTGGGTACAGTCCTTTATGAAATGATCTGGGTTCCCACAGTTATAGCACACCCTTTTCCTAGACTTATGCCTTTTCTTGCTAGGTTGTCTACCATTCTTATCCTGATTGTCCTTTTTAGGGGTTTTAGACCTGCTTTTAGACCTTCCCCTAACAAACAAAGCTTCCCCAGATTCCTTATGATGGTTCCTAGAATGTTTTAAGTCAAGTTCTTTACTTCTCAGGCCATTAATAACAATATCAAGGGTTATGTCATCCCTCCCATATTTAATGACAGACTTAACATCATTATAGGAATCAGGTATAGCATTCAATAAGACTATGGCAGTGTAGTCATCTATATGTTTATCCCCAGCCTGCTTAATGTTTTGGATTAGTTTGTTAAAAACATCTAGGTTTTCATCAATATCTTTTGATAGGTCAAGCCTAAACCTAAAAAACTTTTCCAACAAAAACAGTTTGCCAGGAAGGGAAGTATCAGTATATAGAGACTCAAGTTTATCCCAGAGGTCTTTAGCAGACTCAATGACTCCAACCTTTCTAAGGACAGAGTCAGACAAGTTTAAATATATGGTTGAGCAGGCTATTTCATTCATTTCAACTTGTTTGGGTTTTTCCTCAGTTTCTAAGTATTGCCCAGTAATAGCTCTATGAACTTTCTGTTGTATTAACACACATTTTATCTTTTGTTTCCAAATGTCAAAATCAGTCTTACCATTAAAAGGCATCATACCATACTGGTTTGAAGCCATGATAACAGTCACAACACAACAGCAGAGATACAGGTAATAAGAGAGCTTAACCCTGATGGTTTGGGCTGCGGACTAAGTGACCACACAGTTCCGGGGCCACTGAAGTGGCTGGCAGGGAATCACTTAGCCCTAACCTCAGGTGCCCTAGCCAATCAGGGGTTAGGAAGCCACACAATTACCAGAACTCAACACACAGAAGCGGAAGCAAAGTTGAAATAGACTGACAGAGCAGAGGAAAAAACACAAAGAAAATAATACAGCAGAAAATAAGTAGGGCACGATACAACAGGTTCAGAGGTTATCACACAGAGGATAAATTCAACACAGGCAAGTTCACATATATCAGTGGCCAAGTTCGACACAGATTGGACCACTCATGCACTGTATCACCAACCTAGGGTTTCTGCAAGTCTTATCTAAATAAGATCTACGCATGCAACGGTTCAGAAACTAGGGTTTCTAACCGGTAGTTCCTCAACCTAGGGTTTCGGAATACCCATTCATCACAGAAGCCGGTGGCACTCCGGCAGCCCAAGAGTTAGGGTTTGAGTTTATACCTGAGCGGGTGTCACGGAGAGACAACCCGACTTACCTTCTCCGATGGCGCCTTCAGACGTTACCGGTGTGGGAGTTCTCCGGTGAGCTTCCGGTGTCCGAGAGAGGCAGCAACGTCCAGGCTCTGATACCACTGTTAGAAAACCGGACCGGCTCAGACCTCAATCACCACCAAGCCCAAAGGCTTGCTCACACTCACCACCAGGGATACAACCAGGGAAGACAGAAGGACGACAGCCAACTAGCCCTCACACAAAGAACCCAGACCCCAGCCCAGAGAACCCACCGGAGCTACAGATAACCCACCACACTACCAGACTAGAGTGAAGACCCCAATAGGAACCCCAAGGTCTCACCGGAGCAAAGCCGGAGCTAAAGCTCTGAGGAAACCGGCACTCTCTCACTCTAGGTCTAGGGTAACAGAACTGAAGGCTCATAGTTTAGAGAGAAGGCAGAGAGGCAGAAATAGGAGGATTCCAGAAGAACCAGCCAAATATAAGGGAGAGCCACACGGATGGGCTGGGTATAAGACAAACGGGGGACGGATGGGCTTGGTCGGGTAGACAGCCCAATTGGGCCAGGACATTAATTAGGAGACCAACTCCATAAATGAGGTGGACCAAAAGGCAGCTCAGGGATGGCCCATAGATGAGGTGGACCAATACCACAACAATACTAATACAATTTGTGATACTCGTAAAGAGATTTTTAGTTTATATGGTACATCTACTTTGATGTTTAGGCTATTTTGCTTTTAGTTGTGTAATTTAGTATACTACCTTAAAATGGTACCACGAGTCCACGACTACGTACTATGTATAAGATATTAACTGATGTAAAAAAATAATCATAATTAATTGTAATAATTTTTTTGATTCTTTTTTATATTACTAAAAGCTTCACAAACATTGTGGGTATAAAAGGTGGGTATAAGGATGGGTACATCAAACATGGTTGTATACCTATTTCGCAACACGCGACAGAATTGATAGGATTAAAGCTAGTTTGGTGACCCTTCTACATCCAGTCTCACCATATTTTAGATGGATTTCCACTAAATGAATATACCCATTACATTTAGTGCCCAATGTACCCTTGGACACATGCATAGATTGTGAGGTTTTTCACAAGGAATTTGAACATCATTCCAAGTCACTCTGCCCACCAAGGTTTTTCACTAATGGTATTGACATTTGACAATCCAAAAGTTACTCATGTCCTTGTCCTTCACACACCTGGATTTGATCACAAAGCCCTCCAGGGTGTACACACTAGTCTAGTTTACAAGAGTAAAGTTAAACTACCAACTAACTAAGCTCTAAAGATATACTAGTATATGACTATATGTATTTAAGTTATTCTAAGAGCTTAGGAGAGTGGGTGAGAACTATAGCTAAGAGGGTGAAGGAAGATCAGCACTTTGTTAAGCTAGATGTGTCAATTGATCTATCTTCCTTCTTACCTCCAGACTTGTTCTTCATGCACTTCTTTTGTATTTAAAGATTGTTTTTGTTGAAACTCCATCGTTGGCTGAAGAGATTCAATCTTGACCGTTGCTTTGATCCACTTGATTTGTTCTACTTGACTGAAAAGGCAGCATGGTAGATTTTTGTCATCTTGTGACACAGACTGTTTCTTCACTCAACTTGTATTCCTCATTTCAATGCTTTGATAAAGATAAGATATCTTAATCTTTTATTCGAAGGGTGGAGTATATAAGCTGGTGATTGTTCAATGCTTCCTTAGAATAAAAAATCTCTTTCTTTTAGTAAAAATAATGTTATAAGAAATCTTTATGAAGTGGTACAAAATTCTTATAAAATTACTTTTTATCCTTTCTTTTATTTTGACTTCAAGTTGGTCTTTTGTTTGCTTGGTGCTGTAGAGAAGATTAGTATATTTCGGTGGTCTTGTCTGAAAATCTAAATCAATAGCTAGCTCTAAATTTAAGTAGGCTACTGAATTTAAATTTTCAGGAGGCTGTTGAATTACAAAGGGTTTCAGTTGACTTTTTTCCGTACCTATTCTTTTCTTTTATTTTTGTACGTTTCTTCTCTTTTTAGTACTCTTCTGTTTTTCTTGAGTACTTTCTTTTTAACTAATAACGTAGCACATTACAATAAAAAAACAAGAGTAGAACTCTAGGAGGCCGTTTGGCAACACTGTTTTTCGGCTTATCAGACTTGTCAGCCAATTTTTTCACCAAACACGTAACTTTTGCTTTCACGCGCTGAATTGTGTAATAAGCAGAAAAAGTAAGGTTGGAGTTACTTTTCTGGCTGTATTGGCTGAAGTTACTGTATATGACCATTTTAGCTATTTTTACATATAATTTTTTCCTTATTTTACTAATAAAATATATTTTTAAATTGTTTTTTCTTAAATCAGCAGAATCAGCCAATGCAGCCACTTCAGGTAAAAATTCATAAATTTCAGCAGAATCAGCCAAATCAGCCGATTTTTGTGCTACCAAACGGGCTCCTAGTCTAATACAGGATAAGGGAAAGAGAGTGGCATCATCCAAACTTTAAACATCAAAATCTAGGGGACCTAACAAAAGTATCATCATATCATTTCACTTCTTATTTTAAAAAAATATAATTCGTACTTAACAAAAAATAAACACGAATGACACTTTTCAAAGAATGACTGTGTCAAGAACATGTCGAGCTGTATGATATCACTTCATCATAACTCCGTAGTCATTTAAATGTCTTACAACAATTTACATATGCTCTTTGACAAAATTATTACATATCTAATAGTCATAATTTTATATCAAGAAATGGGGACACTAATATTATCATAACTACTGATACTAAATTTCAGGGTCGGAAGCGGGGCACTTGCCCCTAGGATCCCCTAGGTCCTCCACCGGCACAATAGACGGGTACACACTTAGCTGTTTTAAAAAAAACTTTAAAATGTACTCCGTTAAAACTTTAAGCATATTTATATATGGACGTCCGTGCAAGTCTGAAGACAGAAAATTCACCTTTCATGTAGTTGGACAACATGCATTATTTGTGATAAGTTCTTAACGCATACAATAATTACATACTACCAGTGGCGGAGCCAGAGGTTTGTCCAAGGAGGGGCAAACCAAAGGCTAAAAATTTTAAAGTTCGTGTCCAAAATATAATAAGAACAACAATAGCGTAATAATTTAACAAAAAATTATAGTTCATTACATACTACTTGATTTACTTCTGCAACCTAGGCAAATCAATCCTACGAGTTTTCATATTTTGAAAATGCTGCATAATAGCTTCATTATCAATTGCTTGAAAAATGTCTCTTTCGATGTAGCATACTAAGCAATCCGTAAGATAGTCATCTCCCATCTTATTGCGAAGATCTGTCTTGATAATATTCATCGATGAGAAAGCTCTTTCAACTGTGGCTGTTGTAACTGGTAACATTAGAGCCAACTCAATAAGACGATAGACCAAGTGAAAAGATTTGTGAATTGTAAGCTCAATCATCTTCTTAGACACTTCACCAATACTTTGAAAAGTGGAAAATGCTTCATTTCCTCTCATCTCATATATCCAAACTTGGAGTTGTTCTTTAAGCTCCATTTGCTCAACAGCTGAAAAATCAGATGAATATAACTCCGCAAGACTGAGTAGCTTTGACTCACAGAAATTGGAAAAATTATCTTTAGGATCAAGGCAAGCTAAACAAGCGAGTAAATCTGTATTTGACTCATCAAATCTCTTTCCTTCATGCCCATGAAAAAGGTAACACCAAAAACAGAAAGCGGCATCTTTAGAAATACTATATTCCAACCATTCCCAAGTTTTAAACCACTCTCCTCGAAAGCTCCTTAATGTCTTACCAAATTCAGTTCGTGGAAACTTATGAGATGCTAGTTGACAAGCACCTTTAACAACATATGCTCTCATCACATCATCCCTAATCCCCGGCGCATATTCATTAATTGGTTTTCGTAAAAATGAATCACTAATAATATCCCATTCATGTGTACTTTCTGTTCGGGCTCTCTTGTCCCTCTCATTCCTCTCATCTCTAGCAATATTTTCATTTGACGCAGTGGCATTTTCAACACTAGAGATAGACTGATTAGGAACAATTGAAGAACTAACACCTCCAATCAAAGACCTCTTAGTCTTAATTACAAATTTATCCAAACTCATACTCCTAAATATAACAAAAATAAGTATGAATTAAAAATGTTCCTTATACAAATAGCATTAAATTGCATCTAGAACTGAGATTTGAGGATTCACACAAATAATTTCTGACTTTTCGTTAGGGATGAGAGCAAATAATTAATATGGGCATAAATTAGCAGATGAGAAACTTACTTGAAAATTGCAGACTCTGAGAACAAATGGGGAGAAGTGAGAACTAGGGCTGAATGGTTCGGGAACCGAACCGAAATAGGAAATATCCGAACCGAACCGATCTTTCGGTTTCGTATATTCTATAACCCGAAACCGAACCGATCTAAGTTGGAACCCAATTTTTCGGACACCGAATTTTCGGTCCGGTTATTCGGTTTTTTCACAAAAACCGAATGGGTATTCAATATTTGTTTAAATTGTAGCTAATACTTGCACTCAAGCTTTACTAGCAACTTAATCTTTATCAACTATGAAGGAGCGATTATATAGGCTCAAATGAGGAGTGAATCCTCTATTTCATCCGGTGTGGGACGGGTTGTAGGCTGAAGAAAATAAAATTGGAAGAATTGGGGCGGAAGAAAAGCAAAACAAGTTTAACTTAATCCGTCCTGAGGGGGATTCGAACACGGGTGATACGAAGGGAGCGTGTTACCTATCTCCACTGAGCTACTCCGAATTATTGGCAAATTGGGATGCCAAATGTATTACATACATTAATCCCCTTTTATTCTATATTTCATTTTTTTTTACTTTTTCTGAAAATACTTTTAGTCTATTAGCCACCATAGAATTATTAAACAGAGACAAAAGAACTAAATAACCGTTATTAATGCTAATCTAAAAGGCTAATAAATTAAGTAAACAATATATTAGTCTTGTCAGAAATTAATAAGATATTTTTACATATTTACTGGATATTTCACCTGGGAAAATGGATTAACCATAACTAAAGTGGCAATATATATCTTGTATACTACGTTGCATGGTGACTTTCTTGCTCTTTGTAATCTCTCTTTTTTAGAAATTGTACAAAGGAACAGCATATATTCTCCAGTGAACTATCCTACACAAATGCATTTTATTAAAAGATTCCATTTACCAATTTTACTAAAGAAATATCTAACAATTCATTGTATTGGGAAGAAGCAATTGCTTGCAGAGGAGGCTTTGGGGGGAGTTAGCCCAGACAACAGCCTTGGGCCTCACATGAGAAAGGGGCCTCCAAAATCAAAGCTATTACTATTAGTATTATGTATAATTACTTAATAATCGGAAACTAGAATAGGAAAATTATCTTCTACATACCCATCCAGCAGGCAGTGACGTGTCACGTGTAGATGTCTAAATAAGGTAATAAGGATTTTAACTTTTTAGTACTACAAGTATTTTAATGTGATTATAGTGAGACAATGTCTACTAAAGGAGTAAAAGTGTAAAGTTAAATATTTAATATGCTGAATGTATGACAAATAGATATAATTTAAAAATTACTGGGTTAATATTGTTATACTGGTAAAACAAATTGGTATTGTATGAATTAGATTATACGTCGTATGATATAGGCATGAAATAATTAATGTGATGGTATTGGTATTACTAAATTATTTATTTTTTTCTCACTTTTATTTATAGATTCTTGGTTTTTGTTAATTTATTGTTTATGATTTTTGTATTATATATTAGTCCAAAAGAAAGAATAAGTTCAGATAACTAGTGAAATTCTCTTTCATGAGTTTTTGCTTTGGACGTTGACGTTATATCTGCAATTTGAATATGTTTTTTTCATATGATTTTTTATGATTTGAATATGATAATTTTTTTGTCTGGGGCCTCCAAACTTCTCAAGACGTCTCTGATTGCTTGTGCCGGATTGATTTGGTTCTTCTCGAGCGTGGACAGGACATTGAGCAAAGATCCATTTGCTAGTAGATACTCTTAGCTTTAATGCATTTGGGAACATGAATTTTGAAATCCACGTATGTTTAATTGTCAGCAGCAAAATGGCCGAACAGCTCACTTTGGGAATTTCAAAAGCCACAAATGCTCGGCACCTTATTTATGAGTTCTTGAAATTGTATTTGCACCACTAACCATTAATACTGTTCTTTACTCTAGCTTCTCGATCACGTGACTAACCACCTATCTTTCTTGCCATACTACTCCCAAAATCTCCCCCACTGTTTTGTTATTGAGTTAATTATCAAAATAGGACTAAAAGTCATTCACTTTTCACAAATAGGACCAAAAAATAAACTATGTTTGCATAGGACTAATTATGTGTACCTTGGACAATTATACCCGTATAGCTATTAAAATGTTTTAATTCCTAATAAAATAATAAAAAATAATAAAAATTCGTAAAAAATACCAAAAAATTAAGAAAAACATTTCGATATTAAAAATTTAATTATTTTTTTTTTCAAAAAATTAAAAAAATTAAAAAAAAAATAAAAAAAAAAATAAAAACTCAAAAAAAAAAATACCGCCGCCTCTGCCGCCTCACCACCACCACCTCCAGTCACCAGGGGAAAAAATGCCAAGTTCATTACGATTGCCATATTTATGGCAGAAAAAATGAAAATGTTGGCATTCGAAAAGAGAAATATGCCACTTTTTTGGCATTTTCAGAAAAAAATGGCATTTTTCTGGGAAAATGGCATTTTTTTCATCGGCCGGAGGTAGTGGTGGTGGGAGGTAGTACAGGCGGTGGGAAAGGCATCCATATTTTTTTTACGGAGTTTTACTATTTTTTATTAATTTTTTAAAAAATAAAATTATTTTTAAAAAAAAAGTTTTTGAATTTTTTATTTTATAAAAATTTTATAAATTTTTTAATTATATTTCTACGAATTTTTGAATTTTTTTCGAATTTATTATGAATTAAACATTTAATTATAGCTTTTGACTATTTTTAATTCATATTTAATGGAAGGGTAAGAATGGAATGCAAAAATAGGTATGTTTCCAATAGGACTCATATGGTCCTATTTTGGAATAAAAACATAGCAAGTCCTATTTCAGGTTTTTGCCATAATTTTAGTCCTATTTGAACTAATTTCTATTTGTTATTATACAGCTATCTTTATGTGTTTTCTAGTGAAGAACCTTGTTCTACTTCCGATCTTCAATTTTACGCTATTCACGTGTTGTAAATTTTCAAAAACTATTTTTTTTTGTTTTTTTACTAATACAAAATTATATATATTAATGGTCAAAATTGGGTCTGGCCAAATGTGAAATGTTTACTGTTACATAAGTATATAGTATGTGTTGGGTTAATGGTCCAATGGGTATTGGACCATAAACCCTTAAAGGCCTATCCTACGAACGTCCCGAGAAGGCCCAAGACAATGGGTTAGCCCCCTAGCGAGGTTCTTCCCAACTTCGCCAAAGAGAAGGGGACGCACGACTCCAATTGTAGGCAGGTACCTTATCCCAGAAGCGTCACAAGACACGCGTCTCAGAGAACTTGGCCCAGTAGGAAACAGGAGGCAAGCTCATGGGGACGAACGTCCCCTTAAGGCCCAAGCCAATGAGATACCCTCCCCATCCAGGGGATGTACGTATCCTAGCGTGGCAGGTACCTTGGCCCAGGAGCATAATGAGACGCACGTCTCACAGGGAACATGAGGCAAGCTCATGGGGACGAACGTCCCCTTAAGGCCCAAGACAACGGGGCACCATTTCCCATCATCCAGGGGACATACGTATTCTAGCGTATAATGTACCTTGGTCCAGGAGCGTCACCAGACGCACGTCTCGAAGGACTTCGACAGGAAACATCAGTTATGCTCGAGGTGCTGCCCGTCGCCAGAGGCCCAATGGGAAAGAACATCAACGCCTACTGTGAATATCATCGCAAGGAAGGGCTCAACACGGATCACTGCAACAGCTTGAGGATGGCCATTGAAAGACTTGTTCGGAGGGGCTACCTCGGAGAGTTCACAAGGAGACCGACCCCTCAGAACCGGGAACAGCCGGACCAGGAACCATTCACGTGGCGCAGGGACGACCGGCGGGAAGCGGAGGACCAAGACGCCGATTATCGCCATGCCGATAAACGCCCGGAGGGATCACTTGGGCCGGACGACCACAAGAAGAAATTGGAGATCAAGTGATCTTCGGGGTACATGGACGAACATGCTGATGGCATGTGGAACGTAGAGCACGTGAAGAGAGCTTATCAATGACACCATTTTGCTAGAATCCTTCCTCTAAAAAAATATAAAAGAAAATGGGGGAAGAGGGAGGCATAACTCCTGAGGTCAGAAAAAATCACCAAGAGGATAAAGCGTTCTCCATCTCAGAACACTAACTAGTGCGGTATGGCCTCAGGGCTTAAGCTGCCGGTGCGGTGGGAAGGTGGACGGACGTCGGATAAACCGTTCTCCACCTCGGAACACTAACCAGTGCGGTACGGCCTCAGGGCTTAAGCTCCGGTGCGGTGGGAAGGTGGACGAACGTCCCCATGAGGATTAAAACCATTCTCCATCTCGCAACACTAACCAGTGCGGTACGGCCTCAGGGCTTAAGCTGCTGGTGCGGTGTGAAGGTGGACGAACATCCCCAAGAAGATTAAAACTGTTCTCCACCTCGGAACACTAACCAGTGTGGTACGGCCTCAGGGCTTAAGCTGCCGGTGCGGTGGGAAGGTGGACGAACGTCCCCAAGAGGATAAACCGTTCTCCACCTCGGGATACTAACCAGTGTGGTACGGCCTCAGAGTTTAAGCTGCCGGTGCGATGGGAAGGTGGACGAACGTCCCCAAGTTGATAAACCATTCTCCACATCGGAACACTAACCAGTGCGGTATGGCCTCAGGGCCTAAGCTGGCGGTGCGGTGGGAAGGTGGACGAACGTCCCCATGAAGATAAACGTGTTCTCCATCAAAGAACATTAACTAGTGCGGTACAGCCTCAGGGCTTAAATTGCCGGTGCGGTGGAAAGGTGGACGAACGAAACTAGGGAAACCCAAAAGCACGAAAATCGTTCGTCACCAAACACCGGCCAGAAGCCAAGGTAGAGGCCGAGGGTCTGGAGACAAGCATCTTCACTTCAGAGGCCGATGGTCTGGAAACAAGCATCTCCACTTCAGACGCCTAGGTTACTGGCTGGCGACGTACGTCAGATTCAATTCTACTTCCTTATGTCCCGCGCACGCTCGGAACATCAGAAGTGGGGTACTTGTGTTGGGTTAATGGCCCAATGGGGATTGGCGCATAAACCCTTAAAGGCCTACCCTACGAACGTCCCGAGAAGGCCCAAGACAACGGGTTAGCCCCCTAGCGAGGTTCGTCCCCAACTTGGCCAAAGAGAAGGGGACGCACGTCTCCAAGTGTAGGCATGTAGGTATCTTATCCCAGAAGCGTCATAAGACGCACGTCTCAGAGGACTTGGCCCAGCAGGAAATAGGAGGCAAGCTCATGGGGACGAATGTGCCCAGAAGGCCCAAGCCAACGGGATACCCTTCCCCATCCAGGGGATGTACGTATCCTAGCGTGGCAGGTACTACGGCCTAGGAGCAGAATGAGTCGCACGTCTCACAGGGAACAGGAGGCAAGTTCATGGGGACGAACGTCCCCTTAAGGCCCAAGACAACGGAGCACCATTTCCCATCATCCAGGGGACGTACGTATTCTAGCGTACAATGTACCTTGGCCCAGGAGCATCACCAGACGCACGTCTCGAAGGACTTTGGCAGGAAACAGTAGTTAGGCTCATGGGGACGAACGTCCCCTGAAGACCCAAGACAACGGGATACCCTTCCTCATCATCCAGGGGACGTACGTATCCTAGCGTAGCATATACCTTGGTCCATGAGCAAGACTTGGGGACAAACGTCCCCACCCCTTTAGCGGACAACCAAGATCTTGGCGGGATTCTACATTTAATACAGAATATATGGTGGTTGCGCATTTAATGCAGAAGATTTGATGGTCGGGATCAAGCTAGACAAACCCATGGGGACGAACGTGCCCACCCCTTGGCGTGAAACTAAGATCCTGGTGATCACGCATTTATTGCAGAGGATTTGGTGTTTGGAGTCAAGTCATCCACAGCTGGATTCAATGCATCTAACTATTCATTGGCGGTATAAATAGTAGCATTTATTTCATTGTAAAGGGAGGCAACTTAGCACTCTAGTATTATTATCTCGTAGCATATCTCTGGACGAACGTCCTCACCTTGTAAGCACGAACGACTTCACCTTTGTAACCACGAACGGCCTCACGCCTTTAACAGTGAAAATATAACCAAGACTGCTTATTGGGCCTCATCTTATTTATTTGATGGGCCTCATCTTATTTATTTGATCTTGCTCTCCCAAAATACCCACTTGAAACCCTTAGGTTGTGTGTTGGGCCTACGGGTTGAAGGGAATAAACTTCAACATTATGTTTGATGAGGCGTCTGTTTGCTCGCTCTTATATTGAAAATTGGTATAAGTTTAGTCAAAGCTGCACCACGTACCAACATCGGAAGCTTGATTCTGGAGCCCTCAGCAGAATCCCCAAAGCCAAACTCAAACTGAAGAAGCACGAATAGAATTGATGAAGAACCCTAAAATAACAAAAAATGTTGCGCTTGTTTGGGTTTTTGATTCATGAACTGTATCATGCTTCTGAATTAATACAAGGTTTTTCTCATTCAGAATATCCAAACTATGATTTAGTCGGTAATTCCATGCCTTTAGATTTTATGTTTCGTGAGACAGAGGCATGAGCAAGATTCTCATAAATCAATCAACTTTTGGCCATTACCATCCCCGGGGTTTTTCCCTGAATATTACAAATTTAAAGTCAATTTCCAAAAAAAAGTGACCTCATTTACATTAGGACAAAAATGTGACCAAGAAGGTCACATATTTGGAAAAATACTATGTCACTGCAAATATTTATGTTACTGCTGGATTTTCCTGTTACTGTCAAATGTCACTGACGTCATCGCCCATGTCACTGGTGTCACTGAAGCCGCTACTGGTGACCCTGAGCCGCCACCGATGTCACTGACGCTGCCATCGATGTCACTGACGCCGCCACCTATGTCAATGTGCCACAGTTACAACATATTTTTCAATGAAATTTGCTCGCCAGCACTACCGCCTACCGCCCGCTGCCCACCAATACAACCGCCTGCTGCCTGCCAACACTACCGCCCGCCGCCCGCCACTATCGTCTCCCAGTACAACGCCCAACTGCACACTTCCCCAACCCTGCGACCACCGTTGCCGCCCCGTCGTTCTGCAGCCCCGCCGCCCCACCCAATACACCTCCTATTACCCGTCCCCACCCAGCAAAGCCACACCCCTGCCCCATCCAGCAAAACCGCATCCCAATCCCACCAGCCCATGCTCTAAGTTCCCAACTCTCGAAGCAACGCCACCCAGTTACGTCGTCGACCGACGCCACCCCCCCACTACCCCTAAAACCTAACCTAGCCACCATCGCAGATCTACACCGCCGTCGGGAACACCAGTCACTGGTAGAAAGATGAAGAAGGCAATGGAGATCCAGATCTGGAGCCTCTTCACTGATCAGAAAGATGGAGATGAGGAAAGGAAAAGAAGAAGATTTAGCCATTTAGGCAACGGCGATGGAGGTGCAATTGGCACACGGCGGCGATGGGCGAAGCAAGAGATGAGGGAACATAGACAGAGATTTTGAGCGTGCGCATATTTGGCGATGAAGATCGAACGCAAATGACGGGCCTTTCTTTGTCGAAGGAGACGATGAGATTTGGGCCGGGCTTTTTTATTTTAAAAGGTCACTTTTCTGTCCAGCCAATAAATGGTCATATTTTTGTACATCTAAAATCCCTATATAATACTTTTGCCATTCTTTCTAGTTAAAACATGTAAAATATGTTATCACTTTTAAATACATTGTGGAACATTTTAAAAAATGGCCTATAGTTTAATCAAGTTAAATGATGCAAGTTATCCATTTTGTATGCAAATAAATTATTAATTATTTTACATGCTATTAAATTCTTAAATTTTCTGATACGCCAAACATGTTGCCCATAAAGATATGGTAATTACCTATTCATGAATCATGACAAGCAGATTCCAAAAATCATGTCCAATACGAATTTGGACAAGTGCAGAGAAATGCTCTCACCTCTTTACACGGTCTTGACATCAATAGGAACATTGGACTGCAGGCTGCAGCTTCATACGGTTCCAGCCACATCTGAAATCACACCCTGCATAGCTTCCTATTAGCTAACAAATGCCAAGTCATCTGATTTCTACAAGTGCAATTTAACTTCTGTAATAGGGACTAAATTTTCAGCTTAATTTTAAAACTTAAAAATTTATGTTCTTAATTTCCCTCTTTATTTTTGTGTGTTTCCTCCATTTATTAGTACCCTCCAAACGTTCAACGGAATAAGTGTCCGTTATGGAGTATGGAGTATCAGTGAAGAGCAAAGGATAAAAAGGGAATTGATTTTTCATGCCAAAAGTAAGTGCTACGAATCTAGTGTGAGAGGGATAAATTTTAACTAAGCTCAACAAAATACAAGAGTATGAATCTACATCTTAAAAACTAGACGCATCTTAAAATGTACACTAAAATTAGGAAGCCTGTCTGTCTTCCTAATATGGTCTGTAATTTTCTGATATTAGTTGAAACAAAAACAAATCTCCGCTATCTTCCCCCACTAATCTCCCTGCCAAATACACCCTAAAAGATTGGCAGAAGCTTGACAAGCATTATAATCGGCACTTTTGAGAGGAATAATCGCATCCTTCATAGATTTCTAAGCCGTGTTGGTCAAGTTCATCGTTCTTGAAGCACGCGCACCGCTTACTCATCTTCCCTGTGATGGCTATCTCTATAGGTCGTTGAACCAGTCTTGGATAACCCTCATCACACCAAACCTGAGACAGATAATTGAAGCCAACATTTAACACAAATTAATCCTATCATTACTGTGGGTGGACCGTAGACAAAGAAACCAAAACTGAATATTCGAAAAACTACCAACATCTTCAAAAATTCGGCACAGTTAACAGACTGAAAAGAAAAATTGGTTATTGGTAATGTTATGGCTTCCTGTTCCATCATTTCCAAATTCCAATGGAGCCAAAGACTCACTATTTTTTGGCTTGAGAATATGATGGAATAAAGCAAATTGGCTCACTAAATTGTATGCGCTTCTTTTTTATGAAGCAGTAGTTAATGCGTTAATTCATGCAATTTTCGACGCAATTTTCATCATGGGTCATCCATAAATAGTCTCTAGGTGCTTTAGTACAAAGGTAAGGCTGCGTAGATCCAACCCCCTTAACCCATCGTAGGTGGGAGCCTTAGCGGCACTGGGGGTAAATGTTATTGTTGTTGTTGTATGGTTATGGTTTCTACTTTCTAGGATTCCTCTCGAATAAGAAAATGTGATTAACTGGAAAGCCTACTGATAAATGTGATCTAAAAACCAAAATGTTAAGTTGTTTGCATAATAAATACTAGAACTGATTCATGTTTTTTGGCACATGGGAATAATTATTTTATGTAAGTTTTGATTCATAAGACTGGTTAACCAAAGTAATGGTGGACTTGATGGTATTGAAAATCTACTAACGGAAACCCATGTTATGACCATACCCATTAACCACTCCTCGTTACATCCTATACTTCATGACCTTTTTATGACCGTTCGGAAACCAAATAATGCCTGGGGAGAGAACAGGAAAAGAAATTAGAAGGAAATAAATTTGTGGGGAAAATCAATGTGTGTGTAAACTCAATAGGAGGAACAGAACCGGATCGCCTTAAAACAGTGTAAATCGCCGTTTGACCGGAATAGAAACCGGAGCCAGGACACATGACCATAGTTATGGTATAGTTCTGATTATTATGGGATCAGAACCCGCAAGTCCAGAACGGCCTCTACTCCATAAGTCCATATATGCAAACAAGAAACAAACTATGCTTTGGCTACAAAATAGTACCTCAGATCCCTCATCTTGACTCCATCTGGAATTACAACCAGGAATCTTCTCTTCTTCATTCTTTTGCTTCTCAAGCAGTTGAGCGCCTCTAGCAGCCTTCGCTTCTGCTCCTCTTAAATATTTTGTGGGGTTCCCTTTGCTGTCATAGTAACGGCCAACTAGATTCCCAACAAAACTGAATTTCAAGAAAACTATATTTACCAATCATTACTTCTCTTCTCATTTGGTATAGGATGGATGAGTAAAACCAAAATGAAGGGGGGAAACATTGCTCAAAGTGGAAGAGGTAGGTAAGGATATCAATCACATCATACTGAAACAATTGAAAATTAATACAACTCACATGTATGTTTTGAAGTAGAAACCTCTCCATTCAACAATGCTTTTAACCTACACATTATAAATCCATGCAAGCACAAATGCATAATCCTTTAGAACTACCACCAATTCAAATCACTGTCTCATGAATGGTTTGGACAGACTAACATCAAATATACACCACATCTATATATAATCTTGAGAGACACCTAACTAATTAAGGACCCTTTAGGGTGAATGGGTGATTCAATCTAAATTTTACATTATGTCAAAACATGGGGTGAGTTAGGCCTAACTTAAAGGACACATATTAAGGCAGTAATAAAGATTCCAAAGTAAACTCAAAAGAAATAATGAATATTCTAGAGTTAACTTAAATAAATAATAAATATTCTGAAGTTAATGTAAAAAATATATTTAGAATTCACATATTAATGTTCCAAAGTACATGAAGCGTTAAGGATGAAAAGGGCAATGGAGTAATGAACAATTGATGCTCCAGTGATGTTCTAAGGTGACTGTTATTTGAGGACAAACCTTTTTCCCTAAAGTGACAGTTAATAAAGAACAGAAGGGCATTCTTTAAAACCATTTTGATAATATTGGTACAAATTTTTGGAGGAAAATAAGAGTGCTAAATAAAAACAAAGGTTGAAACTGATGGATTACATGGAAATAATAAAACAAGAGGAAAGCGCAAACATAGCAGACACCACGCTACCTCTGTGCTAGATAAATTAAGCAACGAGTCCGTAAGTCCATCTCCTGCATTAACATGAAGCAGAAACACTTGATACAAATATATAAAAGTTAAAAAATGGCCTTAATTTCAATAATGTATTTATGTGGAGCACAATTTAGATATCAAAATTTCTCAAATTGCTTTTAAATATGGAGTTAATTATGGAGGGAAGTCCTCCACTTTTCAGGGCCCTTTGGGATGTAAGTAACATTCAATTTAAATCTTATGATGGGAGCATTTGTTCAATAAATGAAAGAGAAAATAAGACCACAAATATGTGTATTGCTGTAATGCTCCATAGCAGATTAAAATAGGGGTGAGATTATTAGCAAACGAATGCAACAAAGAAATGAAAAAAAAAACACGGAAGACAATATACACATACTTTAAAAAAAGCAGCAAATGAAGAGAAACATGTGATTACCTGTAAAGTTTCCTGAAACAAATGCACGTGAAGCATCTCTATAAGCATGCAGAAAATATTAAAAGGAAGTCATGTTAGTCAAGAGAGAAGAAATGAACTAGGAAAATACTATATGATTCCTTCGAATCTCAAGAAAACGGTTGAAGCACTACAAAGCTAGTCTTAGAATAATGATTTTCTAGTAAAAAAGTTGTAGTGTATTATCCTTATCAAAGAAGCTCCAATCTGCATAAAAACATGTGAACCGTTTGCTAGACAATATCTTTCATAAAACCATGTCTTCAGATTAGAAAAACATGTGAACCGTTTGCTGATAGTGTAGGCCAGTTTCTGCGTGGACTTCCGATTTTTTTAAAAAAATTGTATGTTACTCACGAGTTTATACACGGCCTTCCAACCCTAAATTGGTAGGCAATATTCTTGTCTTTCTACTAATTAATTATAGACTTTTCCTTAACTTTTTTAAGGGGTTTTCAAAACTTAATTTCAGCCAAATAAACAAGTCAACATAATTTCTCTTCCTCAATGTTAATAAGCATACTAAGAAAAAAAAGCCAGGACTGATGACCAAAAGGAGCTTGAGATCAACAATAGACTGCATCAAATGACCTATTAAATCTGCTTAAGAAAATCATTTTGAATTTTGAACACATGATGCTGAAGCATAAATTTAAACACAAAGCCGGGAACTTTAGAAACCATAACTACAAAAGTTGGGGGGAAAGAACACCATCAGAACTGAATTTTTAAATACAAAAGCAAAAAGAACAATGGAATCACCTTCCTGCGAAATGATTGTAAGCACCACCCGCACCATAATGACTCTTTCCTTTTGTTACGTCAAATACAGACCTGTTCATTTTAATTCAACGAAAACTATTTAAAACTAGATATGCATAAAAATGTTAATTCATACTCCGTATTAAATAATGCACAGAGTTAGAGAGTACCCGATGATGCCAAGAAGAATGGGCAAGTTTGGGTCGGAACCATTGTAAAGAGCTAGCTGCTCCGGAGTGAACAATCTCTGTAAGCATAATTAAAAATGAACAAAAAAACAGCGGATTCTCGTAAACGTCTTGTGCTTCGAAGAGAAGAGGATATGCAAACATCAATTCGCAAGAGCTGTGAGTAATTTACCTGTGTAGGTGGAGAAGAGCGGAACGAATTGCGAGGGAAGAATTTGAAGAGAATGGAGAGAAGAAGAATTGAGAGAGGGATTGACAGGGCGGACCACCGCATTTCTTTGATGCTCCTTATGATATTTTCACTCCAACATCCTCAGATCGGAGGACTGCGCAAGGCAACGAACATTTTAGCTTTTTGCCGATTTTAAGGACAACTTATGCACAAAATTTTGGTCAGAGAGTCGGCAGGGAGCTGCCGATGAGCACACACAACTTTTACACCTAAGCAAATTTGCAAATTAATCTATATATTGGTGGAGTGCACATAACACTCCAAAATTTCCCACCCAAAAATACTATGAAATAATACTCTCTCCGTCTCGGAATTATCTTCATTCTTTCCTTTTCGATCCGTCCCAAATTTATCTCCTCTTTCCTTTTTTGGCAAAGAATTTGTGGTTCACAACCATTCTTACACATTTCTCTTTCCTCTGCACAACTCTTCACCACACATTTTCCACTATCTTAAAACTCGTGCCCAGTCAAATAAGGAGATAATTCCGGGACAGAGGTAGTAATTTATTCCCAAAGAAATATTGGCTTTATTTAAAATTATCAAAATTGTGCAGCGTAAAATTTAAAGGGAAACAGGGGTGTTACCGCCACACTCGGTTCTCTCTTAACCGAGTGCACAGGCTAAAACTACTTAAACTTCAAAATCAAAAGCTCACTGATTAAAGTTATTGAAAAAGAAATTTACAATGATTTATTAATAATGTTTTCTAGCGAAAGCTCTCTCGAAATCAACATCTTTATCAATTCATCACCTGTACAAAACAAGTACAGAAAGAAAATAAAAAGAAAACAAACATTAACAATAATGCTAAGTAAGTTCCACATAACCTTTTAAAATAATAATAAATAATATATATAAATTCGTACAACCTCATAAAAATATTTTTCAAAACACTTTATAAATCATAAGTAAACGATATCTATACAAAATCCCAACCACATAACCCGTACTACCATAATAATTCCAAAATACATGAAACACCAAGATTCTCCTCTTTTGAATTTCTCTCAAAAATCCCTTTGTAACTAACTTCCTAGTAATTTAGAAGGGCGGTGCTCAACACTTTGGTTGAGCCCGGTGGTCCGATGTTATGTACGGTCACCCCGGGACTATCGCCGGTACCACAACTGCTCAATGGAAACGGAAACAACTACTTTAATTGTGCACACCCCCTAAAGGTATTCCAAGCCTTCCGGGTTAGTAAGTTGATCCGGATAGCCAGGATATTTTCTACCAACTACCCCACCTCAAAACCTGAATGATTAGGAACTACAAGAAACTACTACTACCACTACCACTCAAAAGCAGGGATGTTTTCTACCGACCGTCAATTCACCTCAAATCAAAACCAACAAAAATTTGTGTAGTAGTAGACCTAACCACCCTCCACATTTTAAGGGACGTGGAAAACCGACACCATGGATTTCTCCCGTGATGCTCACCCTTTTTGAAAATATTTATTTTTCTTTGTTTTCTCAAAATCAATCGAAGTTTATACTTCAAAAATTTCCTTTTCATCAAACTCCCACAAAGATAACAAATTATGTACTATGACAAAATCTCCCAAAATCGTACGGAGTATACAATAACTCATATCAACAAAACAATATATCAACTAATATCTCAAATACAACCCTTTCATATAATAATATTCACTCAAATTCAGCACACATAAATTCAATTCTCAAATATGCACACAAAATATGTAAAAGAAATCACGAAGAAAAAGAACTAATTTCGGTTGACGTGAAACTTACCTTAAGTCCCGATGCTCCTAAGTCTCTTCTTCAATTCCGGTCTCTAAATATTCACCTTTTTAATTAAGATGATATAATTAGTCACTTACTCTGTTTGTAATTATTTTACCCGATTTTCCCCTTTTTATTTCCTTATTCGAATTTATTAATTTAATTAATTAATAATCTGAATTAATCACTTTTTATTAATCAAACCACCTTTTTAATTCAACTATTAATTACAATATTTGAATTTTATATCACAATATCAATATTAAAAACCCCGAATTATAAATTTATTAATCACTATTACTTTATTCTACCTATAAAACTTCCAAATAATTAATTATAATTTACTATTATTAAAATATACTCCCTCCGTTCCTAAATAAACTTCCAACTTTCCTTTTTCGTCCATTCCAATTAAAACTTCCACTTTCCCTTTTTGTTAAAGGATTTGTGGTTCACAACATTTCTTACACATTTCTCTCTCATCTGCACAACTCTCCATCACACAATATCCACTATCTTAAACTTTGTGCCAAACCCATTTGGAAGTTAAAATGGGAACGGAGGTAGTACAAATTATGAACATATTCAAATTACTTCAATTATAATTTATTACTAATATGTTCGTACTTAATAACCATCTCATACTATTTTAGTTATTTAAACTAATTCGGTAATTAATACAATAATCCTTTATTAATTTTGATCTAGTCCGATAATAAAAGGTATTAAATAATTAACTAATCTCAGTTCGTTACCATCTCTTTAATATTAACACCTATATTATTAACTCAATAATTACATAAAGAATCCGAATTATTTTTAATTAAACTATTCAAATCTCGTAACTACACTAATTTATATTAATCAACATTATTAATAAATCAAATTATTATAACAATTTGTTTAAACAAACTAATCATCATTAACTTAATCCGGTTTTATTAGCTTACGCAAACACTTAATATTTCCGAGTCCGTAATTATGTTAATTTGATTAATCTACTTCAATTAGTCCAATGATTAGTGAAAATAATATCTATCCAACTTTAACTAATCTATTCATGTTACTAAGTCCAAATAAATAATTATTATTTTAATACGATATTCGTTTATTGGTTTTTATTAATTACACCATCAATTCCTTTTTATTATTTAACATTATGTAGTTATGTTAATTAACAATTAACAAATTTATCCAAGTGATTACTATTAATTAATCAAGCCAATTCCACCATTAATAATTCTCATCTCAAATTTATCAATTATATTATTATTATTATTATTATTATTATTATTATTAAAGTTGGCCCACCCCAAAGATTTCAATCTACCGGTCCAACAGTTTAGATAAAATAGGCCCAACACAAATAAACGTCATATGGATCGGAGTATAGCAGTATGTATAGCTACGTACGTACGGTTCCATCGTCGCCTTCCTCGTCGATCCAAGATGGCGGTAGCTTCCTTCGAACTGGAGCTCTTCTACCTTCATCAACAGCAGATGTACCCGGCAGAAACGATGTCCGATCAACTCAGTTCCGACGCCAACTCCATTGGCTTCAGCTTCTCCTACTCCGGCATCACGGTTTCAGCACTCCAGCATATTACCCCCCCCCCCCCCCCCCCCCCGTCGCATGAGCTTCTCTTCCGGCGGAACTGCAGGTAACGGCAGTAGGTTGGTAACATTCGGAGACGTTCAACGGTAGCAGTCCGACCCAGCGGCAGCAACTCTGGCTTCTCCTCTTCCAGCGTGAAGGCAGCCCGGCATTCCGGTAGTCCGAGTAGTTGGGTCTCTTCTCCGGTGTGCTTCTGTAGGAAGTAAACTTGACTACTCCACCTTTGACTTAGGTAGTTATTTTTGCTCTAGTACGTATGCATGCATCATTAGGGTCTCCTACCACTTCATGCACGTACGCATGAACGTGGATAGGGCGGTTTTCTTTGGTAGTTGTTTTCATAGTTCGTGTTTCAGATTTCATGCATCATGTAACTCATGTATTTAAGGAGTGTGTGAGGGGTTTTTTCATCCAACGAGAGTTGGGTTTTCCCCTAAAAATTAATGAAAAGGAGTGTTAAAGAAAGTAATTTGCAATGGTGTTTAGTTTATATCTTTAGTATATTATCATTTGCTTCTGCTTGCGTGTGTATGTTTGTTTCCTACACTTGGTATCAAAGCTCCAAGGAAACAATTCACCATGTCTAGAGAATCAAATGAAGAAGGAAACTCACATGACAAAGAATCTGTTAACCTGTGATACCCCTTGCTCACCAAAAGCAATTATGCTGCTTGGGCCATCAAAATGGAGGTCTTTATGATGGCTCAAGGAGTATGGGAAGCTGTGGAAACACAAGGAGCTGTTGAGACACGCAAAGATAAGATGGCGTTGGCAGCAATATATCAGGGGATAAGTGAAGATACTCTCCTACAGCTTGGTGCAAAACGAACGGCCAAAGAAGCTTGGACTATGCTGAAAAACATGAATCTTGGGGCAGATAAAGTGAAAGAGGTAAGAACCCATTCCCTTTTAAGAGAATTTGAATCCATGAAAATGAATGAAGGAGAATGCATTATTGATGAGTATGCTGGCAAAATGCAAGTAATTGTCACAAAGTTAAGAGGACTAGGTAATACAGTTGAAGAAGTTAAAATTGTGAAGAAACTTTTGAGATCTGTCACACCTAGATTCTTGCGAATTGCCTCTACTATTGAAGAGTTTGGAGATATAGAAAATAAGACTTCAGATGCAATAATAGGTTCTCTTAAAGCCTTTGAAGAAAGGATGCAAGGCTACGATTCAAAAGAAGAGGATACGGTTCTGCTTACTCAAGCAGAGTGGAGAGCAAGAGAAAATGGAGAATCATCAATAGGAAATAGAGGAGGTAGAGGAAGAGGACGTGGTGGGGTAGAAATAACAATTGGTCATCCAGGAAGGAAGAAGAGCAACAACAAAAGAAAAAATTTGACAAGTCAAAAATTAAGTGTTATAACTGTGAGAAGATGGGACATTTTGCATCCGAATGTCATGCAGAAGAAAAGGAGGAACAAGTCAACAACACAGAGCAAGAAGATGGTGAGGAACCTTCACTATTAATGATAGAGTCATGTGAGTTAACCAAAACTCATACTATGAAAGAGAATGAAGATGATAGGATTGTCCATCAGAAGAAGTCAAAGTGGTATTTGGACACAGGAGCTAGTAACCATATGTCAGGGGATAGAAGTCATTTCACTAAAATGAATCAGTCAGCCCAAGGAAGGGTGAAGTTTGGTGATGGGTCAATGATTAGCATACATGGAAAAGGGTCTGTAATGTTCCAATGCAATAATGGTGAGCACTTAATATCGTTAGATGTATATTATATTCCTAAGTTAAAGAGCAACATTATAAGCATTGGACAGCTTGATGAAGATGGTAGCCAAGTCTCATTTAAAGGAGGTGAACTGAGAAT